GTAGTGTTCACAGTCTCTGTGCTACATACGCTTTCTGTTATTATAAGGCCAATCTTATTCTAAAGTTAAATTAGAGTTTAGTTTTATTTTGATATCTTTTAAGTTAGACCCCGAGTGGAGGGTCATTGTATTCCGAAGTACGGAAGTCATTGTATATAAAGAAAAAAAATAAAGGGTTTTGTATACCCTTCGTCTGTATCCTGTCTACTTACTACAATTAGTGAACATAGCTTTAGTAAGCTCTCTGTTCTAGTCAGGTCATTGTATGTTTCCGAAGAAGGTTAGAAGAAACATTGAACCTGATAATGTTACAACGATTGAATTTTGCTTAGCTGCAGTGACTAAAATTTAATGAGTGGTTATCACGATTTACAAATATTGCTTTATTATTTTTTCCATAATTATTTGTTGAATGCCAGACGTGCGACCTGACATCACGGCAGCATTATCATAACATTGTGATCTACAATTCGTTAATGAAATCTAAACGGAATTTAATTTTTCTAAAATTATATTTTCAATTGAGGCTGCATCTTTAGCATGTATTTCAATAAATCTTAAAAAAGATTCTTTGATGGAAACTTTTCTGTTGGTAAAATCAATATCTACATACCTAAAGACTTGCAACATTTGTTCTCGATGAGTAATATCAGGAGTCGAATCAAATAAAAGTCTGTAATATTTATTTCTTTTGATGTCGCTTATTAGTTGATTTCGAACTATGGATGCGAAAAGATGAATAAATTCATTTTGGATTTGTAAATGACAGTTCTTGGCGTTTCTATAACATTTTTTAGATTGGCTAGCTGTGGATCAAATAGAGCTACAAGTTTAAGTAAAGATAATAAGTTTTCGACATTTGTACCGTCTTGAAGCGCTAGATTTTCAACATGACCACGTAGAGGAAGAATTTGTATAATTAGCTATTTCATACAAGCTAATATTCATTGCAATATAGTTTGCCACCATTCTTTTTCAGACTGTATATTTCCTTCTAATAATTCATCGATTTCCGTTTTATTAATTAATCTTCTTTCCACTTCTTTGCACATTGTAAATGATTTTCAATGAATTTGACTTCTTTCATGGCTAATCAATTTATTTTTTTTCCTCCATTTAAACCAAATGCTGTTGCGAAAGATGACTGTGTAGTGGAGTTTGATACAACAAATAGTAAACAACAAAAGCAGTACGCTACATTATTTTTTGGTGGATATAATAACCAAGATCAGCTTATTTAAGTTCCTTCTTCATTGCCGATTCGTCGGAAAAAAAACAAGATTTTGGCATTAGACGATTAATTGATGTTGCTATTGCATTTAGACTGAATTCGTTTTGAAATATGTGGGATCTACAAATAATCATTTCGGTGTGAAGATGGTTTGATATTATTGGACGATTATTAGAGAATTAAGAGAATTTTAAATAATCAACATCTTTGAACTCGGGAATGTCCGGAATTGCAGTGAGTGTTTTTGTTGCATTTTCTGTACTTATTAGGTATGGACATGGATTTGGGACTCCTGATGTCCTTTAGAGTATTTTTTTTTTGTTTTGTTGTTGTTGTTGTGATATGTTATCGCATAAACATTTAGCACCAATAGAAATACAATTTGAATCTGATTTTAGTCTTCATGCTTCTTAACTTCTGGTTTTTCTTTTTGCGATTTCTTTATTATTGGATATAATTCCATTCTTATTCTGGAGTTTTGAGCTTCTTTTTCTTGCTCTAGTTTTCTTTTCCGATTCTGAGAACCGCTAAGTTTTTTCCTTGGCATTCACATGGTGTAAATAAAAAATTTGTGACAGTTGCGAGAAGACAAGTTATTATAGAAGTAAAAAGACATTAAAGGCAATTACGTACAATTAAAAATGGAAAATCTCTGCAACTATTAGTGATAGGCAGGGCTGGATTTAAACTTGATGAGGCTCTAAGCTATTTGAAAACTGGGGCCCTTTTTAAGTCTTATACTATATTTAAAATTTTTTGGAGGCCCTAAACTATAGCTTGTGTAGCTTATATGTAAATCCTGCACTGGTGATAGGGAAATGGGAGTTGCATTTTTGCATAAAGTTTGTAGGATTCTCCACTGTGTAATCCGAAGTTAACGTTGAAAGTGAAGAATCTTAAGAACTGATAAGTGAATAATCGCTTGAGTTTGTGTGATAGGAAACAACAAAATGAAAGGGTAAAATAACCCTTTATTATTCAAATAAGATTTAACAGAACTCTCTCTTGGAGTTGTACAATAAAGCCAAAACTTGGGCTTGAACTGAAGAAACTAAGAATTAAACTAAACTAAGCTTAACTAAAGAGATATAGCCGAAGCTATCAAGATTCTAACGGAGTTGGCCCCTTAACGCTAATTGGCTGCGAAGCTATCAAGGGCCTAATGTACGGCCGAGCATAACAATAGCTTAAGAGAGAGTGGCTTAAAAAGGTGGACCCGTGCTAACCAGAATCTCTGGTATCCCTCTCCCTCAGATGATAAGAATATGAAGTTATGATGTATTGAAGAAGACATAGGTTTAAAAACTGGTTGATATATAAGTTCCACTCTCCACAACATAGATCCTATCCAGGACAATGGTATTAATGATCGATATGTATTTTCATACAGATTATATGTAACATTATTGTGATGACACTGTCAATTAGCATTGTAATATTACTATCATTGATTCAGTGAATGCCACTGGCGGTGGATTGTAGATTCTTTTCCATCACATGGACATATAACTCTGATTGGTGTAGAACCTTAGGTCGTAGGTCCATGCGACTATGTATCAGTAAAACTTCACGGTTATGTGTTGCTCTTCCTCATTAGTATTCAGACGTGATTCTAAAACTACGTTCTGGCCGTAAGTGGTAAGTTGAAGTTAAGAAGCGATAGAAAAGGAAGTTTATTAATAAAATTAACATAAGCTATTGTGGTTAACTACAAACAATTATTCTATTAGTAGTGGTTAACTACAAACAATTATTCAATTATTCTATTCTTAACTACTGTGGTTAACTACTGTGTTCCACAGTAGCTAACTACAAGTTAGCTACTGTGGAAATTTGGGGGCTCTAGACTTGAAATAGAAAATTGGGGAGCTTAGGTCAATTAATGTTTAAAAGGAATTATAAGCACCTGGTATTAATAATCCCTTTGATTTTCCATTGTTATAAAGTATTTGAATAAGAAATCTTTTGTAGGCTATTTCAACACTAGAATATATTGCATATGCTACAAAAAATAACAATGTTCTTAAATTTAAACAATCAACTAGCATATAATAATAGCTAGTTATAATGCCTAAAATATAGTTTGGGTGAAGGTAGGCTTTCAACTGATGCAGTAACTGAATGTTAGCTAAGTACTAAATTCATATTATGATAATTATTTGTTAAACAATAATACAACTACTTTAACAGAATTCCAATTAATTATACTCTTACAAAGATAACTTGCAAAGAAGCACAAATACTAATAAAGAGTTGCTGAATATAACATAATATAAAGGTAAGATTATACAGAAGTCAATTAAATATGCCTATGTGCATAATAATGAAGAAAAGTTACTGAATAGGTATAATGCTATCTTTATTGCCACGCTTACTAAACAAACATGGTTGACACTTTTAGCAGCGAGATTGAGATTAATTGGAAAATAATATTTAAACCGTGCTACCCCTTGAAGAATGGTAGTTAGGATAGAAATAAAAGTGAGAGTACTAAATAAGCCTAGTGTGGCTGTCTTCCTCTGAACAGAATTGAAGCACTGGTATTTTTAAACTGAAAGTCAACAATAACAATTTCTGGACTTGGAAAAGATTCCCATGCATTCTTCGGTCTTTTTCATGAACACACTAACAGCAACACCATGTAATTTGCTGCAGTAGAGTATCCGTCGACGGTGCGGCTGGGAAAAAAATGGGCACGGAACTTTGACGGAACGTGGCTATTACATAACAATTTAAGACACATTACACTGTTCACTGAATAATGGAATCGTTAAGTTGATGTTAAAAAGTAAAATGCATATCAAAGATTTCTTTAGCTATAATTTCAGCCTCCGAATAAATAATAGTTCAAGGTCGAAGGGTTATAATATGAGACTGTACTGTTTGTTGCAGTCAAAAGTCTTTAATCCGGAATGATCTATAATCCGGACCTCAAAGCTACAAACTTTCTGCGCATGCGTCAACACATGTGCATAATACCTTTACGCATGCGCATAATATGTTTACTCATGTGCATTTAATGTATAACGGACGGTATAAGCTAAGCTAAAATTATCTATTTCAATTAATGTTGCAGATTGCGTTGTTCCTTAATCTTCTTTTGGATCCGGCTTATTATTTTTTGCAGACTATTAGAGCAATTTTATAAAAGTAAGCTTGAACTACTTTCAATTATCTCAAAAAAAATTTCCAATTCTGGAGCTACCAAAGATCTACAAAGCGAAAGCATGTTTCAATGTCTATCAAACAAAAAGTGGAATTGCTGCAAAAAATGGATAAAGGCATATCCTTTGATTCTCTAACCTTTCCGAAATATGTTTATAAATTTCACACTGCTCTGCTGGGGGGTGGGGGAGGGACGACGCGGCACGCGAGGAACTGGAAGTTGATCTGTCAGCACTATCCTTATCTTCAGAACAGATGTTTTTATTTTATTCGGCTTATAATTTTTTACTAAATGTAGTATTTCATCTCGATGTACTCCGTTTTGATATGATTTAAATCAAATTCCTCGTCATTATAAATATCACGAATACACATCAAATAGTTTTCTGATTGCAATTTTCTAATTTCGATTATGCGTAACGTATGCTTTACGCATGCGCGCGTTTAAAGAAATGTTTAATAAAGTAAACAAATAAATATTAAGCTTTTTTGTGAATTTTGATCATAATTGCTCTTTATTTCTTAAATTACGGTTTCATATTTTTAATTTTATAATTTCTGCATGCCACCTTACCAGATTTAAACTGATGATCTATAAATCCGGAAAAACCAATAATCCAGAATCGCCGAAGTCCCCACGAATCCAGATTAAAGACTTGTATAATCAATTGAAGAATTTAGATCGTGAGCTGGTAAGTCTACATTAAGGTGTGTTTGTTGGTTGATTTCTTCGCTCTATATAGGAATTCCGTAAAATGATCGGGAATTTTCTTTATTTGCATTTGGAGCATAATTATTGTCTGTGAATGGGTTTAATGATCTTTTTTCATTGATTGAGTAGTAGCAAAATTCTTGATTATCTTGTGATATATAAGAGCTTGTATTCATAACTACTTGTTTTGATGGTCAATTGTGGATTGGAGAGGTGGATGTGTCATTTAAATGTATTTGGCTTGAACCATGTGCTGTGTCAGTAAGATTTAGTTGAATAAATTCAGTTGTATTGATATCTAGGGGACAGTTTTTCAGAAAGTTTACTATTGTTTTGATTTTATTGAATAAAATGCTTTTGGAAAGTGACAATAAACTAATGCTTTAGTTTATTGTCACTTTCCAATGGTTTGTTACATTCTTTATAGGCATCTTGTATTTTAATTGCTCTTTCATTATGCTGATTTAAGGTGAGAAAGGTGTCATTCTGATCAGTGGACATTGAAGACATGGTCGATGGTGAGAGTAAAATTGTAATCTAGCACTTCAAGTTTTGATAGAATAGTTTCTTGAATTGGAATGATTTATAGAGGATCTACTTAATGATCTTGAGATATTTTGTGACATGATATAAAGACGATTGAGAAAAGCTTATGAATTTTGTTACTTGATATAAATAGTTCTAACAGAGTATGTATGTGATATTAAAATTGTAATTAGAAAAATATTGTGTAATCATTTATATAAAGTAGATATTATGAAATAAGTAAATTAATGTAAGATGATAAATTTTTTTTAAACTATATATATACAGGGTGATTATAATTAAAGTTTATGTTTCAAAACGCTATAAAAAAAGAACCACTCATGAAAATGATGCCAAATTTTTGAAAGGAATGTATTGAAGAAGAGGAAGCGGAAAAGCGTATGGCAGAAGAAAAAATTAGTTTCAAAAGTTAGCAACAGATGGCGCTGCAAGCGGAAGAAGACGTAAATTAAAATGTTAGTTAAATTTCAGTGTTATAAAACCGCCAGCAGGTCCAAGGCTGTTCCTCATTCGCGTCTCAGACGTTCGCCATGGGTGTTTCAACTGAGGACCGCGGTGATGGTAAGCTGTATTACAAGAATGATGATTGTGCAAGAGTAGTTCTGCAAAAATTCAGGACACTAAAGGATATAGAAGAAGGCGTTGGTCCAATGAGTGTCGTGGATCTAAAGAAAATAATGCAAAAATTCAAAACGACAGGTTCGTTTGATGTGTAATCTGGTAGAGGGAGAAAACGAGTGTATTCGACGGTAGTTGAAGAAATGGTCACAGCATTACAGGAGGGGTCGGCCGGTGGTGTGCAACAGTGCAATGCACGAGGAATTGCCGGAACACTAGACAGGCCTACGAGCACACTGCTGAAAATTGTACGAAACATCCTGCAATGCTATCCGTACAAAATTGGCATGTGCAGGAGTTTTCTTCCGTTGACCTGACAGAGGGAGACGTTGGCGTTAGAATTCCTGGCTCGCATGGAAGTGGATAATGAAGGCCGTGAAAATTTTGTGGACAGATGAAGGCCCATTTCCATCTGGCAGAATACGTGAATACCCGAATGTCGAATATGGGCAACAGAAAATCCCTGGCAACGCCACCCCGTAAAACTTCATCTGAAAAGGTCACGGTAGTTGTGGCTTTACGGCATCATTCCCTACAACCATATTTTTCGAGCAGACGGTGCTTCGGTCCTGTTACCAACCGTCATGGTCAAAGGTATCATCTCTTTGCGCAACACGTGATCCAGCGCTGCAACTGGTGGATGGCGATGAATCATTTTATGCAAGAGGCGCTCCTCCGCACATTGCACATCCCGTGAAGCAAGTGATGAGCAACATTTCGGAAATGCTCAATTATCAGCCGCATTCCATACAGCTGGCCGTCCCGATCGCCTTATCTTACTCCTGTGATTTCTGGGTAGGGATATCTGAAGATGTTGTGTTCCATGCTCAATTGCAAATTTAGCGGATAAAGGCACGCATTTCGCACACTTTCTTAACAACACCCCGGAGACACTTCGATCCGTTGTGACATCTGTTGTCGCTTTCAATTGTTGCACAAACGGGACACATATTGAAATGTTTGCGCAGTTCGCTACAGTTCCAACTCTTTGATGAAATGGTTCTTATGCGGTATGGTCGCCGCAAAACTCTTGAAACCGATTAGTCCCTTCGATGTGATATGACAGTCATGCAAATAAATTTTCAACAATTCTAATTTGTCCAATGCGTTTTATGTAACTTCCACTTAGCCTTGTTACGAATCTTTCTCATTTTCTCGTCGTGATTCTCGCTTACAGCGCCCATCTGTTGCTAACTTTTGAAACTAAATTTTTTTTCTGCCATACGCTTTCGCCTTCTTCAATAAAATTCCTTTCAAATTTCACATCATTTTCATCAGTGGTTCTTTTTTTAAGCGTTTTGAACTAAACTTTAATTATAATTACCCTGTATATAACTTTAGTGTACTGCTGTTGGCAAAAAGAGAAAAAAAAATCAAATAAACTTAAAATTTAGGATTGTTGAAAATAGCCGTGTTAAATTATATTATAATGCTTATTTATTTTTGAGCAGGAGCTCAAGTGAAATTTATTATAAAGGCACTGGCATCAGTAGCATTTTAAAAATTTGAAATTGAAAGATAATATTAAAAATTCAAAGAAATTTATTTAGTGAATGAAATAATTAATGATATAAAATAATAGAGAAAAATTTTCTCTACAGGATCATATAAAATAATTCATAATATGGAACATAACTTTTACAAGAATTAAGAAAGATAAAATACAGATATTTACAGTATCATTATATTTCAATTGAAACAATGCAATTCAATGTTATTTGAATAGCTATGAAATTATTTTGAAGTTTTTTTTTTTTAAGAGTTTGTTGAATAACTTTTCAATTTATGAGAATCCTGCGATGAAACTTATATTTTTGGAAAAAGCAAAAATTCCTCTTTAAGATAAATATAAATATTAGTAGTAAAATTTTAAATCCAGCTCATAATATATTTATAAGGACACATACCTATGTTGCTTTCATTATTACAATGTATTGAGCATTGTTTAATGGTCGATTTCTCAAAATTGAAAAATAAAGATGACAATATTTTACAGGTGGTATGAAGCCGAATGGAACCAGTATCAGAGAAGAGCTCTTCCAAAGGGCTTTCAGGGAATGTAAATCTTGGCCAAGAAATGTGTTTTTGTACACAAATTTAAATTTCTTACTATCAGAGCGTTGAAAAATGCATCTTAACACTGTAAGAACAGTAGGTAGATGGCTCAGTAGGTTGTAGGACCACGTTGGACAGCAATACCACAAGCAACACATCTAGGTACAGAGTAAATGAGACTACAGATGGTGTCCTGAGTAATGGCTCTCCGTTAGCTTTCCACCATTTGCCACAGTTCATCTTCTGAATGCAGCAGTGGCAGGGTCTGTAAATGGCATCCAATCACATCCCAAATGTGTTCGATTCGTTAGAGATCAGGAGAAAATGGTGGCCACGGAAGCATCTGTACACATTGCAGAGTACGTTGGCTGATGCGAGCAGTGTGTGATTGGGCGTTATCCTGCTGAAAAAGGGCATTGTGATGGTAGGGGAGTGTCACATCCACAGCACATCATCCATGTATTGTTGGGCCATCATAGTGCCCTGAATTAGAGATAACTTGAAATCATACACAGTTGCATGCTAAACCATGATGCTGAGATTTGCCATATAGGCCAACCTGCCCTTGTCAGTCTGATCACCATGCCTCTCATAAAATTGTCCGTCTGCCATAACTGCCTCAGCTGACGACAGCCTGGCATTCTCTGCTATTACAAATGTGCTCTGAGACCCCCTCCCCCCCAAAAAAAACTACTTTGATTTTCCTAGCAGAAATAATGGCACAGAAATTTAACATTCTGCAGGTTCCTTCCCATATATCTTCTTAATAATATAATCTTCCCTTATATATAACGTGCACTGGAGAGCTGCGTATTTCTCATCATTTGCATAACTCAGTGACATGTGTCTACCGTGAAATTTGCATAATTTTCTGGCCACTTCTTTTTGTTGCCTTTTTAATGTCAGGAGTATATATATATACGTGGTAAATGCTCATAATTATTCTTTATCAATAGTTAAATAATTTTAGTTTTAAATGTTATGTGTGACTCATAATGTTTTGTTTTTAGGTAAATATTTTTTTATTAAAAAAATAAACATGACTTTTTATTTGTATTTTTTAAAAAATTTAATAGTAATTATTAAATAATAGTATTTATACTTAATATTTGTGTAAAACTTGTTCAAATAAACCACTTCTATGTGTCCTTTTCGAACATTTGTAATTAAAATAATTTTTTTGTTATAAGAAATAAAGGTATTTTTCCTAAAATAATCTTATAGCATAAAATAATCTTATAGCACCATTTTCCATTTTGTTCACATGCAAATGTTCATTTGATGCGCCTGGCCTGAGGCATGAGATAAATAATATCATCACTTAACGTATACATACCAATTTTTAGTGCTTTTCTAAGTATTGCTGATTAATATTATGGTGTTGTGCTTTTAAGATCCTCGCCAAATGTGTGAAGAGGCTGGCTGTATAAGGTTCTTTATGTTTCCCTCAAGTATGATATAAACACAGAACAGTTTTACTTAAGAGGTTATCACATCTAGCAATGTCCCTGCTAGATGGGACTTTCCTGAGAAACAAGATTCTGGTAGCACTTGTTTAAATGGGGAGATTCCTAGGAAAAAAGAATCCCGCGTAGCTACGGAAACAATGTACTGGCTACGCGGGATTTTTTTACACCTGGCCACAAATATTTAGGCTGGAGCTCTGTACCGCATAGAGATCAACCAATCAAATGACAGGTCTGTTTTTGAAGAATCACGTGATCTGAGTGATAATCGCTTACTGTTTGGTGTTCAAGTCTTTGTAGTAAGTGTCAATGGTAACCTATCTATGTGGGTTTCCTGGAAATGTGCGGGTTCTGAGAAATGTCCCTTTTGACGTCCAGTCCCACGTAGCGGAAATATAATGTGATAGAGGTTTTAGAAAACTATCTACAAAAGCCTATCTGGCCATTGGAAGATAGATAGCCTTAGTATGTTTTATTGTAATGAAATAATCTAATCTAGTCTAAATATTTTTTTAATTCATAAAATGTGTAAGGAATTTATGCCTAAGTAAATTTAAATCATTAAAAAATAATTTGAATTAATATTTTGAAAATAATTTATTTATTTATAAAGGCCTTTAATTTGATTTTTATCTTTCCTAATCTTAATGCATCAAATTACTTGCCTGAATATAAATGAGATTCTTCATGATTTAAAATTGGGTAAAAAAGCAACCTTAAGCTTTTTTGCTAATGTAGATTTTGAATGGTTGGCGAGTTTTATTCAGAATCTGTGCCAACGTAAGGTTACTTTTTGCGTAATTTTTTACATTAACATGTTTCTCTTCCAATTTGAGCTTAATGGTGTGGAGTTTTCTTCAGCTTGTATTGAAGCTAATTGCAGTTACCACTAAACTTGTTTTAATTTTATTAATGTTGTATCCTTTTTAAGAATCTTACTTATTAGTATCTATATTACAGAACTATATCAGTTATTCAAATATAAGTAAAAAATTGTTTATTAAGATATAAGTAGTCCAGGTTATTAAATGAGCATCATAATGTATATTCAGATGTGTTAAAAAAACTTTTAATTATTCACTTTTACTATAAGACAGAAAATTCATTTTTATGTCATTTATTTCTATCTAAATATTTCTATGCTGAACTTTTATGTTTAAGTTGTTAATCATAATTTTTTACTTTCATTTTATATCTTTTCCCCCTTCTTTCTCATTAATTTATTAAATTTTATGCATTCAGTCACAATTACCATTTGTCAATTAAACACATTTATGCGTGGTACAGAAAAATGAGAATACTGAATATCACTTTTCTGTTTGTAATAATAAGCAGTATCAACACATGTTAAACTGTTAAATAACCATTTGATCTGATATTGGGTAAATCAGAATTTTATTCTTAGAAGGTTTATATGTTTATAATATAAACTTTAATACTAATATTCCATTTCAGATGGATATGGAATCAATAAAATATCATTTCAGTGAAATATTTTTGAAGAAGATCTTTACTTTGTATAAAAATTATGAATGGTCCCTCACATTTTCTGGTAAGTAAAAGTACAATTTTATTGAGCATTTATGTATGTGTAATGATTTAGGTATTAAAGACAGATGTTGATTGCATAAAGACTTAGTTTCAGTAAACAGAATATTTGCAGGATGGTCAATTGTAATATTTCTATTTATTCTTGTTGACATTTTTTTCACCCAATCCAGGTAAAGTGGCACGATAAGTGCCTGTTCTAGAATTTTTACACTTTTTAACATGAAGAAAGGCAGTGACTAGCTAGCATGGGAAGTAGACAGTGAGTGTGGCATACCTAAGGTGAAAGTTTGGTAAAGATTGATTTTCATTTCGTTTTGATTGATTATCTGAATTTTAGTGTGCAACATTATCTGCGTTAGTAGCATTATTCAAAAATCATATGACACGGACTAGTTCTGAAAGGATGCAGTTTAGAGAAATTTATTATAAGCAGATACTGTTTGTAGTACAGAAAGGTGAAATCCCCAAATTAAAGCAGAGAGTTAAGAGATGACTGCAGATTATTAAAGTTAGTATTTTGATTTACATATTTTTTATCTTGCATGTTCCTCTCCTTCAAAGAGAAAAAGGCTTAATGACTGAAAACCTTCTTAGAGAAAAGGCATTAAAAACAGTAAACATTTTTTAAAATATTAAGGTATGACAAATGCAAATCATGAAATTTTGAAATAAATAATTTTAAAATAATGTAGGAAATAAATTTTGAACATATGCAGGTTTTAGTCCTATTGAAATTTCAGTTTTCAGTTCAGTTTGAACAGGTTCTTGTTTTTGTATAGTCTAAATGATACTCATGATTCTTCAGGGAATGTTTATCAAAAATTTTCCCAGATTACCAGATATTAGACAGTTTTACGTGCCTGTCATGGATCTTAAATTATAATAAATAACAAAAATTAAAAATATTATCATCTTCATGTTGATAACTTATCTTAAACAATACTGTAATGGAATTATAGTTTCATCCTTATTAGTTTTTCATTTTCAAGTTCCTAATTTTATATAAACTGATGGCTCCACAATTCTCTAAAGACGAACCTTTTGATCTAAAATAGAGCATTTCCACATTATCTGTCTAATGTGTCATTTCATCAGTGATAAAGGAGATGCTCAAGCAGTTCTTCAAGTTGTAAAGGCTTCTGTTCGTTGTATAAGGTAACTGGTCTTTTGAGAACCATATTTAAACACTCTTAAAAAAAGATAATGATTCTGTTAAGAAATATTACATTCATCTTAAAAATGATAGATAGCCTTCAATTTTTCGTCTATGAGAAGGTAAAAGGAACAATTCATTTTCAAATTAAAAAGGTAAAAAATATGCACCTCTGTGATTTTGAATCAATAGTTCATCAGCATACTTTATTCTTTGCATAACCATTACATAATTTTAACATTTAATTAATTCAGAATCACAACCTTTATCTTCCCAAGCAGCTAAGTTTTATCCCCAAAAGGTGAAGACAAAGAGGTGTTTTCTTAATTATTATTCCAAAAAGATCCTTCTCAATTTGTACCTTCACGTTTTTCTTCCAATATATATACTACTTCCATTGCCTTTTCATATTTCAAGATAGATGCTTGTGTTCTGAAAAATATGAAGACTAATATTTTTATTGTGTGTGCATGAGCGAGTGAGTGAGTGGTCAGTTTGCTTGGTTGGTTGGCTGTTCGAGGATTAATATTTTCTGTATTGTATGTAAAATTTTTCTACCACTTTAATGTTCAAAATTATTTCATTGTTAGTTATATTTAATACATAGTTCATTGTCAAAATAAGCCCACCGGCAGCCGAGCAGTACAGTTGCTGAACACTGGTAGTTCGGTCCGAGGTTCGAATACCATGAACGAGCTGGCTGTATGGCCGTTTTCATGGTTTTTTTCCATGTGTAACGTGTATATGAGCTAGTTTCCCCTAGAATGTCCTCCATGAAAGCACCCCCTTCCCTTAGGCAGATAGCCGTCGAGGCTTTTTTTTAATATTATAAAATTTTAATTTCATCCTTTCATTTCATAAAAATATCATTAATAATTGATAGTTTCTGTATGCTGATGATATATAACATTTTAGCTGCCCTAATTATTGAATAAATTACTTAATTTATAGCTTTGAAAAACTTTTAGCCTATACTGTTTGCAAAATATAAAATAAGTCCACTAAATTTAAATTCATTAAAAGGAATCAGATCTGTTTAAAATGCCTGAATTATAACATCATCATTTTTTTAAATAATTTTTGTTTGGGGGTTTAGTACAACAAAATCAAATCTTAAAAATTTTAACAAAAGGATTTGATGTAAAATCCATGGCACTCATATCAATTTTTTGGAACTTCTCTAATACACGGCATTGGAGGCAACAAATTTTTCACCAAACGTTTTTTGGTGAGAAACTCCATGGCACCATATTACTATCTAAATTTTTTGTGTACATTTCAAACTTTAAGCCTAATTTGTCTGCAAAAATGTGATTTTGGCACATGCAAAAAACCACGTTTTTAACACACAATTTATGCCAAAAATCTGAAGCAAAAACGTAAAGTTTCTAACCAAAAATATTTAAAAAAGAATCCATGTATACAGCGATCTGTTTTAACTTAAAAAAAACATCAGCGAATTGCACAATCTAGCCATCGTGCACAAATCAACAAAATAAACTAAAAAAACAAAAGTAATGACAGAAATTCATAGCAAAAAAACAATGACCATAACAGTCTACAAAATAAGAACAACAATAAAATAAAATGCACTTTCCATTGTGAATTCTTCTTCAAACAGCAGAAATATCAATTTCAAACATCAGCAAAACTCATCTATATCCACCACTTTAACCTTCCACCCTATCTTCTGAGAGACAGAGCATACCAGTCCAGCATATATTCATGAATAAAATCCACAAAACAAACCCGTGAACAAAAGACTCGTTTACAACTTCAACATCGTACCTTTTAATGCTAAATTTCCCTTGCACACAATCCAAAATATGCGACTGAAATTTTGCCACCACATCTTTCATTGCAACATAAACCATTTCAAAATGCTCACCAAATCAACCAATCACTGCAGCAAAATAAAGTTTCAATGTCAAAAGGGTTGTTATAAGAACAAAATCGCGCCCAAAACCATCGCAGAACACACAATCACACCAAAAACCAGCACAGAACGCATATCGCCACATTTGGCGACACCATACATCTGAGGACATACATAAGAGTAGAACGTTTTTTTTTTTTTTTTTTTACTATAGAGAAATGTATTTTAATTGGCATAAATGTAATTTTGAGTTTTTTTCATGCAAGTCACTGGCAGTAGATGAATATATCATGTTGAAAGCACATTTACAAAAATGTGCTTTCAACTGCCTATATCGGGTCGGCAACCTTTTGAGTCGGAAGAGTCAAAAATTACAATTTACAAATTTAAGTTTTTAAAGAGCCACAATTTTTTTTATTGCCAACAATAAATAGTACTCACATAAATAAAGTTTTTTGATTAAAAAAAAACTAATCTAATTCAGAAGTCAAACAACAAAAACCAGCGTTATATTTTCAAAATTTTCACAGGACTAGTTTTGATGGTTTTATCTCTCTTCTCTGAATTAGTATTTATTCACGTGTTATTGTGTCTTAAAAACTTATCTATTTATTCATAAGAAAAAACATCTATTTATTCATAAAACATATCTATTTATTCATATTTTAATAGTGTTTTCACAACAAATTAGATAATATATATAGGGCATTATTAGATAATTACTTATTATTTAAGTAAACATTTACTTACAACACTAACTTGTACTTCAATAACAAACAATTGAGCAAACAAATTCAATGGGAGCGATGGCTTTGCATGGTTATTCAAGTAGAAAATTTAAATTTTACTAAACAATGTAACTTGTACTTAAAATAAAAAAACCAATAACATACATTTGAGCAAACAAATTCAATGGGAATGTTGGCTTTGCATGGTTTTAGAAAGTTTGAATAAATTTGACTCACAACTTCTTGTTTTAAGTTTCAAACACGACTCTAAATTTTTATTTGTTAGTTGGCTTCTTACTGTACTTTTAATTATATTCATGCAAGATAATGCTTGCTTACAGGAATATGTCGATCCGAAGATAGTCAGCACTCCATATGCCAACTTCTTCACCTCACTGTAGCAATCTGGAAGACTATTCCATGCATCGAATATAAGTGCCTCAACTTGCGGCATTTCTTTTAAAGCTGTCCACTTTTGTTGCGTTACGTACATATATTTCTGGACCTCCAACTCTTCCAACTTGCTTTTCATCTCTGTAAATTTTCCACTCCACAAAGCTGTACTTTTTAAATCGATCAATTGCATTTCTAGAGATCCAATATCAATTCTAAATGGCTCAATGTGGATTTTGTTACTATTTGTGTTGAGAGGATTTACTATGAATGCTAGAGTGGTTTTGTTAGTTTTGAATTGCTCAAATCTGTCAGCAAATTCATCTTTAATTTTTTTTTTATAACTGTGCTAAAGTAATTCGTGTCAACAATTGCACTGGTTTTATTGCGATATTGCTTTAGAAATTGAAAATGAAGTAATTTACCGCTCTGAATATCTTCTGCAAAAAGAATTTTTCTTCAAAACAAACAATTTTTCTACCAAAACATAGGCTGGGTTTCCCTTTCCTTGCAGTTTTAGATTCAGCTCATTTAATTTCGCTGTGACTCCACCATAAAGTAAAATTTTTGCAATCATTTATCGTTCTGTAATTCAAGGTGATTAATGCCTTTTTCATTTAGGAATGTATTTATTTCATTCAGGCGCAAAGCAGAACGTTTCAACACCTTTCCTTTGGAAAGTCATTGCACTTTATTGTGAAGAAGGAGGTCGGAATACTGAGTCTCCATTTCGTTTAAGAATTCTTTAAACTGACGATGGTAGAGTGCTGTTGACAAGATGCTGTTAACAATCTTGATTACCAAATTTATGATCTCAACTATTTCTGCCGGAAATGTTTGGCCACAAAGCG